AAAATTTTTTTTCTTTTTTTTTTTTTTTTTTTTTTTTTTCTATTCTCATCACATGTTATGATTCAATTATTGTCGTTTTGAACTTTTAAGCCAACTGTACAGATGAAGTAACTGTGGCTATATACTGTACATTTTATTCTTTTACAAAAATAAGAGTTGAAATGCTAAAAACATTATATTGTATACATATGTTTTTAAAAATTGTATAATATTTTTCTCTTTTAAATCTAATTTCATTTTATTTAATGCTATATATTTTTTGTAACCAAAAAAATTTCATGCTATTTCTTCGTCTTTAAAAATAAAAACAAAACCCGGAAATTGCTGGGCTGGAATACTAGTGTGGCATAAAGGAGGAAGCAGCTGACCTTGGACAATTAAACATATAGCATCATTGATACGGTTTAATCGACCTAGAAGCTTAGCTTACACCAAATGCTCTTAATATTAGTTATTGAAAAAAAACACAAATATCATATTTTTTTTTATCATATATTTTACTAATACGAGTAAGGCACATGATTTAGTAGGTCTCCTGGTTTTTATCTAATAAAAGGAATCCACTGAAAAAAAAAAGGTCTATTGCCATGGTTTTTATCCATATTATTATTATTATCATATAAAGATGATTCATTTAAATTTGTCATGTTTTAAATAGTTTCCATAGTTTGAAAACATGAAATGTAGAATTGTTAATTGAGATCAATTTGCTAGTATAATATTAATAAAGTTCTGACATTTTTTATTGATGTTTATTGCATTTAAAAAAAATCTATATGACCAGACTTCACATGTTTTCCCTTTCTTTGCATCAATTTATTTTCAACAACAAAGGACATTTTAGTTATTTACTTAAATGGCGGGCACACAATGTTGACGAAAGTACGTAGAACCTTTGGACTTTGCTGTTTACCAAACCTTTTTGTGACTTATTTAATTTAAGGCTCGATGACCACCTCTCTCTTTCACTTTGGGTTAATTTATTCTGTTTCTGCTTTTGTTTGAATCACAACCACAAGCCTCTCAAATTAGGTTTTTCCCTTTAATTTATAATTGTTATTGATTTTCTGGTTAATTAGATTGCCTAATGATATTTACTTTCTTTTGAATCTAAACAGGATGCAAATTGTGAAACATATATATCTTGGTTCAATTGAAAGCTGTTTTTTTAACTAATCACTGATTAACTGCTATACTTGAGTTGTATGTCAACTTTAATTTTTCACATTCTATCATCTCACTAGCATTTTGATGTTTCCCTGGATGTAGGTAGTAGCTATATTTGTCTTGTTCTTATGTTACTTTAGATGACAATACAATACTAGGTATGCTTGGTCCTGTGCGTGCATGACTTCACTGCGAGACAAAGCACGGTTGATGATGAATATACATTGCTTTGGAAGGAACCTTGTCACTGCCTCATCCTCTTTGCCTCCTGTGCAACTCCCAGCACAAAGGTATAAAACTATTGATTGTTTATTATTTAACTACTTGTTGCTTTATACCATTAAACTTGTTTTTACTTTTTATGTACAATGATGTTTTTTAATTTAAATAAAGATGATGTTAGTGGTGTAGATGTCATCTGTGTTTTCAGTTAAGCTTTACGTTGCTTATGTATCTTGCAAAATGTTATTAAATGTATCATGTGCCAAATATTTTATGTTAATGTAGGGAAGTGCATTTTTGGTATGTTTTGCCTGATGAGGTAAAGAGCACAAACCTATTGAACCAATATTTAGAAATTCTATCACCTTGCGAGAAAGAAGATATATTTCGCATGCGTGGGGAACAGCTGAAGAAAAGCGCACTCCTGGCACGTGCATTGGTTCGCACTACATTAGCAAGATGTAAGTTTTATTATTACGGTGCTGTACTTCATAGTTTTCCTTCCTTTTTCATTCTTTCTTTTGTTTAACACTGTTCTAATGTGTATCAATCACCAAGCTATATATTTTATGTTATTGGGAATTGGGATCTATGCAAGTCATATATTTTCAGTACAATTAAGAATTTTATGGAACACAGTCTTGTGGTTTCATATCGTGATTGAAACCATTATAGCACATAATTGACTTGGTTTCCTGTTTCATCCAGAAATAGAATCAACTGCGTTATTTTACTCCTAACCTTAGCTTAATAATTTTAACATGATTTAATTGGTTTCCACTTAGTAGACATATCGCCTGCATGTTTTCATGGACCATGATTTATATTGAACTATCTGTCATGGTTACATCTGTAATTTGTATATTGTTCCAGTTCTGCTTCATTTGGTTTTGATCTTTCTAAATGACAGATATCATATATCTAAACAATATTGTTTCTGCTAGATCAGACGAAATGCCAAATTGATCCAAAATCCTTAAAGTTTAGGAAAAACAATTATGGAAAGCCTGAGGTGTGTTTTTAAACTGTTGATTTATTAACTTTTGTATGTTATGCACTTGCATTATTTATGTACCTTGTTCATGCACTAACGGTTTATAGTAGCATATTTGAATAGATGGACGGGCAATATGCTGATGATTGGAGCCTACCGCCATTGCATTTTAATATCTCGCACACTTCATCTTTGATAGCTTGTGGAGTAACTGTTGGTTCACCTGTATGTATTCAGTATTCTATTTCACAGAAGTTATTTATTTTTAAATAAGTCATTTGTATTCTCTTCTACTTTTATGACATTTTCTATCTTAGTCATTTTTCTTGATGAAGACCGTTGTCTTTTAACTGATTTAACTTGCCATTCTCATTGTAGATTGGTATTGATGTGGAAGAGAAGCAAAGGAGGTTAAAGAATGATATTTTAGCCTTTGCACGACGATTCTTTTCACCCCATGAAATAGAAATGCTGACTCACATTGCAGATCCTGAACTTCGGCTTCAGGAGTTTATTAAATTATGGACTCTGAAGGTTAGTTCAGTATATTGAATGCCACTACTGCTGTTAGGCTTCCCATATAAAATAGAATTACACTAATTGATGTTCAGGTAAAGCCGTATAAATGTCACTTAAAACTTTCTGATGGGTACAGATGCAAGTTAATATAATATTTTCAAAGGTGTCTAGATGATTTCTTCCTTTTTTTTTTGTTAGCTCCAATAAAAACAATGTAGCTCTCTCCCACGAGAGATACCTAAAATGCCTTTTTAAATTTTGATTTATTTACTAGTGCTGTGTTTTTTTTTGGTGCAAACTGCAAAGTATTCAAGTAGAAACCAAATGTAGAGTCATGCACAAATTTCCCTTGAAACTTTTATGTTTAACTTTTAAAACAATTAGAAACATAATAAAGAGAACAAGAGGTGCAAAGTATTCAAGTAGAAATCAAATGTAGAGTCAGCACAACTTGTTGTAGGTTGAAATTCAATAATGTTTTACGGTTCTGTTTGTCACTTGCCGAAACATTTTCCATTTGTAGGAGGCATATGTAAAAGCACTAGGGAAGGGCTTCTCAGCCTCACCTTTTAAGACTTTCACTGTTCGATTAAGAGACCACATAAATGGAAACATCCATGCTCCACCTCATATGATTTCTAAGGTATGCCTTGCTCATGCAAAGTTTGTTTGAACTTTGAAACATAGAGAGTTCTTGACAAGAGATATTAAATGATGATATATTGATTTTTCCTCTAGAGTAAACTGCTGGATATTATATGACGTGTTACAATATATAGGCCAGGCTAAATGGCTAATATTCAGGTCACTAATGCAGTATAGTGTATGAATTCTCGCTTCAGGTTAACAATATTAAATTTTGTCATGTGATATATTGGCTTTGTCTATCTTTAGCATTTTACTCTGCCGACAGGCACCTGCTATTACTGTTGAGCCTTCTGGTGACTTGAAGAATCTCTCAAGTAATTGGGAGTTTGTGCTTCTAGAGTTGGCTGGTTCTCATTATGTTGCCATTTGTATAGAACAGGACAGCATCGATACAGGTAGCAAGTCAGGTATATTGCATTAATGCTAGTAACACCACATTACTATCACGATAGCAGCATGCCTGCATATTAAACTATTATTCGTTGCACTTATAAGCAGCCAGATAAGTAGTTGTGGCTCAACAAATGTGTGAGTAGCATAATTTGAGCTACTATTATGAGTTTGAATGGTTGCTAGAGCCTCGTGTTTGTGGTTTGCAGGCAATGGGAGTATGCCAATAAATCTGACACTAAGGAAAACAATCCCATTTGTTGAGGATGAATGTATTTCTGCAACTGACAGTGCTGTAGTGATTGGTGGCTTGGCTAGACTGTTGATGTGTGATTAGTGATTCAGTAATGAAATGGAAGTTTTGGCTATAGTGCCTTCTTTTAGCATTTTGGAATAAGTGGTTCCAATTTATTTTATTTTAGAGCTTTCTTTGTTCTTGTTGCCTAGGTTACGTTCTGTGAGATGTACCGAAACTTTGGAGCATATTGCAATTCTGGATTTCTTGGTCTCATTAAATATGTAAATCTTGTCAACAAAGTCGCATTGCCCCGTTTTTACTGTTTGCCTCATTGTTATCATCTTAATCGGTGGTTATCGTTGCACATGCTGGATATAACTCTTGTTCATTCAATCCAAGTAAAAATTTATAATTATCTGAAAATTTTTATTTTTTTATTAAAATCATTGAGAAATTACTCTTCTTTGTGGTTTTTTTTTTTTTTTTTTTTTTTTTTTTTTTTTTTTTTTTTTTTTTTTTTTTTTTTTTTTTTTTTTTTTTTTTTTTTTTTTTTTTTTTTTTTTTTTTTTTTTTTTTTTTTTTTTTGTATAGACTTCCTTATGTCATGAGAAAAAATTCACAAAACTTCTTTGCATTATATATAAACCATAATAGAATAAAATTAAAATGCTATCAAGTCTAACAGCTTCGTTAATTATGTTTTCTGGTAATTGTGATGATTGAATGTCATTCTTAATCTACTTGTTTTGTACAATGAGAAAAAGATAGAAAACCTGCGGAGTGTTAAACATTAATATGCATGTTTTAACATTATATTTATTAATATAGTTTATTAGTAACACCAATTAAATAATATTTTAATATTTATAGATTTTATTTAATATATATAATTAATACTATATAATAAAAATAATATTTTATTTGAATATTTATAAAGATATTACATTAACTACATTCATTAAATATTATTTTAGTGTTTGGTTTTATTATAATATATAATTTTATTTTGATAACTTAAAAAATATTTTGGATAATAATTAAAAATATTTTAAAACATATAATTAATTTTAGCAAAATTTATAGTAGTTTTTTTAAATAATAGTTAAAAATGTAAATTAAGAGATAAATTGATAAATTATAACATATTTGTATTTGTTAAAATAGGAAAGTGTTATTTTATCACAAGAGAGTGATGTAGAGAGAAGTTAGCACAAAAGATATTTTGGTAATAACTTTTTTTTTTATAATGAAAATTAACAGAACTATAATAGAAAATTAAAAAATAATAACTAAAGTGTATATTGAAAATCTATAATGGGATGAGACTATAATTTATAACAAAGAAAATAATGTAATATTTGTATTTTTAACAAGAGGAGAGTGAATTTACTCTTTTATTCCTTCAAAATAGTTATGCGAGGGTAGAACGACATTGCATCACAACAAACATGACCTAAATGACCTAAATGATTTAAAGAATTAAGAAACATCTTAGGAGGCTCAAAGTTCACAAGATAACATTTCACTCTAGCATTATATAACTTGATAAAAAAAATTAAATAATCAAACTAAAGGTTCATTCTTAATGTTCTAGACCTGTGGAGTACTTGCATTAAACTGATATTTCTCCACAATAACCTCCCATTCCCGCACTGATAGTTTGTCCCTCGTTTTTCAACAAGTATTTCTTGATTTAAGAAATTGGCAATACTTTTTGATCGTTACCACCTAAAATCGCAATTAAGTAACAACAAACTGACAAAAAAAAAGACAGACAAAACTATCAAACTAGTTTCTTTTTAAAATCAATTACTTCTCGGGTTGTAACACCACAATGTCATTTAAAAACAGACTTAAAACATCCTTTGAATTTCTCATTTTTGATATAATTTCCACCGTAATTTTTTTTCGGCAGCGTATACAAAATTTGAGGGGATATCGTCGGTACCAAAACTATTTATTGGGCAAAAAAACTTGGTCACCTTCTCCTTTGGAGGACACTTTTAAAATAATGATGTGGACGGATCTAAATATGCAAGTCAAAACAGCTTCAAAATATCCCCATGAATTCTCTCTTCCAGAATGCCACAAAAAATTGCCCAAAATTGAATCTTGAATTTCTAGAATATCATAACCAAGTTTGTGTAGACACAGGCACACCATTGATTGTGCTATGCTAGATAACTAATCTTTTCCATCATCTTCTTTTAAAAGTCAGCAAATGAAGGATTGCCAGGCACTTTCCACTAAAAATTGCACAACTTAACCAATTGGAGGAGTTAGCCTCACAATGCCATAAGATCCTCTCACAAAAAATATTTACAGTCTAGAGCAAAACAACATTACAACATTGAGCCATAGTGGCAATTTTCCTCTCCCAACTTGAGAGGATTCACAGTTTTTTCTATTTTTCCTAAATGACTGTCATGCATATATATAGAATTTCTCAACATGGATGCATTCTCCTCAGTTCTCCTCACTCACCAGCAACAACACTTAGGTGAGGTCAGGCATCATTATCAAAAGCTAAAGTGTCAGAAATAGTGCTCCATTATTTTTACCAATAGTCATTGCAAGAGCAAACTCTGTCTCTGTAGTGGTGGAAGCGAGTGGCATCTCTAACAATAAATTGCCGATTGATAAATTTGCTAACCAACTTGATAAATAAATGACAATCCACACACACTCAAGTTTTCCATGAGAGTAATTTCAGTTCCATTCCTAGTGTTCAAGAGGGCAAATGCAATTGCTAATTTTTCACTTTGTGTTGCTGTCAAAGTTTTTTGTCATTTGTCAACCAATCTTTTGTTGTTGTCGAAGTTTGCTGTTGTTAGACACCATCTTCTAGCATCTAGTAACAACATCAATCTAGTGAACATTGGGATCTCGAGTGGGTTGGAATTTCCTATAAACTCTTGTGGGCTACAATTCAATTGTGAATTTTATTTTGTAAAAAAAGAGCTAATATTATGATCTATCTAATAATATTTAAACTTACTAATAATGTGATCAAATATAACATGCCTTGGATACCTAATTCTGATCTTCATGGAAAATAATGTAGGCCTAACTTAAGTCCCATGATGGCAGGTGCTTAGGGTTAATTAAATAGTATGGGTAGGTCTGTTTCGTTGTCACGATAACAAACAACTTCTCTTTAGGTCTTCCCCATTGAAAATCTAGAATATTGAAGCATGTGATCAAGTAAAGGAAAACTTGGCTTCTCAATTTTAAAGGTTCATGCAACAGGTAAAGAACACATGGAAGGTACATCCAATTATGTTTTCAACAAGTAAATGTATAATTTAAATCATTGTTCTAAACCCATATAAAGTGTGATCTTCTTGGCATGTTTTTATTACATTATTGTTGATATACAATTAAAGTCTCACACCATTCGAACAGAGGATATGAACTTGAATTTATATATATATATATATATTGTTACTAGTTTTAACTTTGAGTTAATCATCCATACACTGTCAGTGTAAATTTTTTTACACTGACAACCAATCATATCTTTTAAAGTTGCTTATTTTATTATTATTTTATTAAATAAGCAACTGACATGTCATTATTAAAAGATATGATTGGTTGCTAATGTAAAAAAATTTTACACTGATAATGTATAGGTGATTAACTCTTTAACTTTTAACTCTCTCTTTTTTTTTTCACCAAGCTGTAAACATTATTCTTAAAGGAGTGTGAAAAAAAAAAGTTTAATTAGA